TGCTGGCTCCAACCCCTAGTACTGGAGGAAAAAAAAGACAACAGCAGCAAACCCTGAAACTGGCAAGAGAGAACCAGCTCTACTCGTCTGCAAACTGGTTCTTCGACTCACAGTGATTTGGAAGAAGGTCTCTTCATTTCTGGCCATTTTCGACGCTGAAACTGCCTAAAGGGATGTGCCAAAAGGAAGATGTGTGTGTTAACCATCACCAAGAGATTGTGTTGTCTCCTCCCAACTCCCACAGGAACCATGCAAAGATGGTGTCTGAGGTCAAGATGGGGGAACTTAGCCCGAACTGAAGTAACAAAACCAAATACCTGTATTGCTCATAGCTTCCTCCATCTTTAAGTCCTAAGTGAGAGATGAATAGAACAGGAACAGTTTGAGGTGAAATGGTACAAGCTTTGTGACCGCTAAACACCTTCGGCTTGTCATAGTGCCATGGCCAAGCTGTCTGCACTGTTTCTTGCTCACATAGAGTGGGTGAACGATGATGACCTCTTTAGTATGCTAGATGACCTTATAGGTTCCCCCCACCCCTGCTGACCCCAGTTAGCCAGAGTATGCATGAGCCTTCACTCACAATGGCCTTTGTGGGGAGCAGGCACAGGGTGGGTACTAGTGCCACACAAAATCATTGGCCGTGGGTGGGTGAAGGACTCCCTATGGTTGCACTCTGAATTCCTGAGGATATGGGATGTGACTAAATGCATGAGCATGGAGTCAGCCAGTGGGTTCGCTTGACTCTCTTCTAAGCTGGGGAGAGCATCACCTCATTGGCTGCTGTGAGAGTTCCCACATATCACTTGGCACAGTGCTTGTACAGTACTTAGTGACATTGCACCACCATCACAAAGTAGTCAGGTGTTTCCTGTTACTCCTCTGAGCCACTCTGGCCCTCCCCCATCAGAGCAGACTGCCCCCATGGGTCTGTCTCCCCCACTTGTCCGATGGGAACTCTAGGCATCTTAGGACAAACAGGTGACCAAGAGTCCCGAGGCTGTTGCCTCTACACTTGGCTGTGGCTCATAAGCACAAGACATCTTCTTAGTGGTTTCCATCTTAGAACATTCAGCTGGTGCCTTGAACTTAGAACTGCTGGGTTTATCCTGATTTCCCCCCAAAACCCAGGAGTAGCCTAGGCCACCTCCTTTTCTGTTACCTCCCCCTCAGCACCACCATGTTGTACGGGCTTCAGTGCTGCGCCTCAAGTCCCTTATTATCTCTCAGTCTTCACGGATGACTTACGTACCACTGTCTACCAGATCCAGCTTCACTCTCTACTTGGTAATCGCTGTCTTTTTAAAAATGTTGACTTTCACTGCCCAAACTTAAATGCTTCCATCAGCTCCCCAAACCATCTCAATGAGAGTCTAATTTTTTTCTCTGTGGCCTGCAGGGCCTGTATAAGATGGCTGGCTGGCTGACCCTGCCTGTCACACATCACTCCAGCCACACGGCTGCTCTATGCTCCGCCCACTACAGCTGCCCGAGGTCGTTCAGCAGTTGACTGCTGCTTCCTCACAGTGCTCTCCCCTGATCTGTCACAGAGCCCCAGTGATCCTGTCTCACTCCATTGAAGCCAGAGGCTTCCCTGTATGGACCCTTGCTCTGAGCAGGATGCCACCTCATACGTTTGCTTCCCTAACTCACAGGGTTACGTTCTGTGGAAATAATGAACAAAGTGGGGGAGGGATGTGAAAGAAGTTTGTGTTCTGTATCGATTGTAAAAGCTCTTGGGAAGCCCAGGCCTGTGAAAGCCAGAGGTGTTTATAGCCTTCCCCATCATTTGTCTTGATTGGACCCTTCCCTGTGATTCTGGGTTCACTTTTGGGGCTGACATGATCTAAGCTCTTCTCTGCAGGTTCCTCAATGGGACCCCTACTCACCCAGGTCCATGTTTCGGGTCCGGGGGTTGCACTGCTTGTATCCTTTACAGCTTCTCAGCTCCATGAGCTGCACATGCAGTTGGTTGAGGACGTCCCTGTCCAGTGTGTTCACTGCATTCATCAGCTGGTGGGGAAAGGTAGCTGTTGACAGGGAATGTCCTGGGACCCCTGCCTCCATCACCTCTTCAAACCACGGCACTTAACTCGGGGGCTGGGAGTGGAGGTGATAGAGGGTACTGTCTACACCCAAGCTCCACTTTGTGCACAGGCCACAGTGTGGAGGGCTTAGGTGATGGGTCAGATCCTCCCTGTCAGGTCTGCTTAGTGGGGCTAGAAAGTCAGGAGAAGACAAGCTATGCCCGTGTACTTGACCTTGAACTTGTGGAGCTGCCCACGAGGTATCTGGCACAGCTGGGAAAGAACCTTCTAAGCCTTGTGTCTTTTGTTCCCTTTGACGGGAAAGCAGCCACTTGGTACAGAGGTGGCTCAGGGGCGTTGAGGCCTTGCTTAGTGTGGCAGCTACTGATGATCACTGACTGACATTGTCACTCTCGTTGGTTCAGCCCCTATTTTACCATCAGTGTGGCTACTGAAGTCACATCGCATGCACGAAGCCGCTTCGGGCTTTTTGAATGTGGTTGAATGGTTGGACCTTAACAGAGGTCACCCTCCAGAACAGCTAAGGCGCAAAGTTCTGGTTCCCAGGTGCCCTGTGGCTTGCGCTTATCTCGTGTGTGGCTCTGAGCCATTTCAATCCTATCTGTGTTGAGGTTGTTTACAATAGAAACAGTGCACAGAGCTTGCCTCGGGTGCGGGCCAGGTGTTGGTGTTGCTGGTCTGCACTGTCCGTGCGGCCTAGCGTGTGCAGAACATGGCCTGATCCTGTGGCTCCATTGCCCTAACGGTTCACAGAAGTGCCCGCTGAGCCTTGTATGTGCCTGAGAGGGAAAAGCTGTACCGTAGATCAGACAGACTGGGAATGGCAGGAGACACATGTTGACTACCCAGACTCCAAGTGGCCTTGGAACTCACTCTTCCCGTCCTAGGGACCTGGTGGGACGTATCTGCCCTTCTGCAGAAGTGTGTGTGTGGATATCTATCAATCTGGTGGTGCTGTGTGCCCTACACTCGGTCTCCCCATCTCTCTGGTGGGACCCATACCTGGTAAGGGTCTGTACTGAGGTCAAAGTATTCTATGAAGCCGGTTGCGAATTCACAGAAGAGGAAGTTGTGGGTCTCATTGATGGTCCTCAAGCACCAGTACGTGTTGTTGTTGGCGCTGGTGCAGGCACAGAATGGCCCCACTGGGAGAGAAGGAAGCACGTCCTGAGTGTGCCCGCGGGGAAGTGAGTCTGTCAGACGGCGTCCCTGAGCCAGCCTCTCACATGCCAAGTGACAGGCTCATACCGGGCGCGGGTTTCTAAGACACCTCCAGGGTCCAGCAGTTTGGCCCCCTGAAGCCTGGGGAAGGTAGGTGGCCGTATACAGGCCCCCCACACCCTGCCTGCCCCCGCTCGCTCATGCACAGCCCATGCACA